GAATGCGACTGCTTGATGTTTACATCAAATATAATATTCGCTCCTGGTTTTCTTGCAAGACATGAACAGAACACGTATACATCGTTTAATTACGGATGACAGCAAATGATACGATTAAAATGAGATTGACACATCATTCGTGCAAACCAGAATCGGAGGCGCCTCATCAACGCGTTCGTGATTGGCGGAGTTGCGTGTCAATCAAACGCCATCTGCAAATAGGGACAAGGAGGTTTGTTCGAAGTTGCTTGCACGTCTCTGTGCATCCTAATAACGTTTTTGACCCATTTCTTTGCCGCAAGAGCAAAATAACCATTTGCATCCGAGAATTAAAACGGTTATGTAACCACTCAATCCAGATTTTAATGCTGTTTTTGCAAGAATTACAATAATAAGTCTACGTTTCATTCATTTTAAGGGGTGGCCTCTTGTTCTGCTGTGTGCTAGATAGTGTCGTTGCAGCTAGACTAGTCTCATCTCAGCATAGAGCAATTAGCCAAACGCCATAATTATGCATTAGCAGCAAAATTATCTTTGCAATGTTCTACTCATCATCGCAAATTTATCCTTACAATTGTCAGATTATGAATATTAACTCAATTAATGGTGTTATTTTTTTCTGTGGAACATCTTTAAGAATTGTAATCAACGTCATCGTCTCTTTTAGCGTTTAATAAGTCAGCATGCCATGTAATGGAAGTTGCGAAAATCTTTTCTTCTTCCCAATTGTGAGTATATCCAAGTGAACGCTTTTCAAACAAGAAAAAATGTAGGCTGGGACTTGATTGGATGATTGTGGTTTGCTATTTCTGTGATGTCATGTGAATGACAGGTTACCCCGCCTTCACGCCAGTGAACATCAGAGAAGAGCTGGCATTACAAGAGGAAGGCAAAGTTATTTTGATTAATGATTATGAGGGCTCATGAATTTAAGTATGATAAACCATTTATAATAAGTACTGCAATATTGCGTAAAAAAAACAAGAATTGTCAATTTTGATTTCATGGTGACTCATGGATAGTCACCTTATGGAATGACACAAGCAGTGTAAAGAGGGAGCTTTTGATGGAACTTGCCCTTTCAAACTGTTGAAAAGCCTGTTTTCCCTGCCCAGGTGCGGAACCTTGCGCATTGTAAACAATACGACAAGTCATGTTAAACTAGCTTGTTAGTTTATTAAACAAACTAGTTAGGTATCGTAGTTCAAATTTCCAGTTCAGCATATGGATGGGATTTCATTAATCCAGTATGAGAGGAGTTTCAATATGAGACCTCTTTGTAAAGTTAGTCTGGGCTCTTCATGACAATAAGGAGCTATTATGTCAACACAAGTTCAGTGCTTGTAACTTTGATAGTATTGCTGTGACTCATAAAGCTCTTGGCTGATGAGTAAGATAACAATGATGTCCTCCTGGTGTATTTTAGGACATTCAGCAGATAGACTGTTCATTGATTTGATCCTAAAGTTTATTTTGTGCTGTGGATTCTATTGATAAGGATCAGTACAAGTTAGCTTGCAAACATCTACATAATTGCTACATAAAGTATGCATGTAATAGCCATTATTTTTAAACCGAGTGTTTGACTGTTTCTTGGTGTCTTTCTCAGAACATGCCACCAGTGCTTCTCTCCCGTCAGAAGACTGGGGCCTCAACATGGAGATCTGTGACATTGTCAATGAAACAGATGAAGGGTGTGTATGTTGTTAGACGATAGATTTCTGTTTATACAGTCATGACAATGGATTTTATTTTTAAGCCTTCCCTAAATGTATTTGGACACATAAACTACACTTAAAACATCTGAACGTTGTATTAGGATTCACAAAATTGTCTTTCAGCCGAATCCCTTCGACCTTAAAATATTTAGAGATTTTCAGGTTGACATTTCAATAGCTTAACAACACATGCACATATTCACAATTCTGTGATGTCGGTTAATGCTCACATGACATGCAGGTAAACAAATAAATTATTTCCTTTTGATACTGTACTCTGATCTATTATAAATCAGTGGATATATGACAAGTAACAATAAAAAGATAATGTTTCACAACCACAACTACAGTTTGTCTTTATTTTGAGCTGTATAGCTATTGTTTTAACATTTAAAACTCTCATTTAGCTTAAGCTGTCACTATTTGCATAAAAGAAAAGTGTCCAAACCTGAATAGTTCATTCAAGTATAGTGCTTTGAGTTTCTAGATTGTATAAAATTCATTGTTTAACATATTTTTTGTTATGCTGCTCTGTTTGCAGACCTAAAGATGCAGTCAGGGCAATAAAGAAGAGAATTCTGGGAAATAGGAATTTCAAAGAGGTCATGCTGGCTTTGAGTGTAAGTGTCAAACATATTGTGAATACCATCAAAGCCTCTTCCTCATGTTTACACATTAATAATTCACATTACGTTTTGAATTGTGCATTTTGCTGCAGGTGTTGGAGGCCTGTGTGAAGAACTGCGGGCACAAGTTCCACATCTACGTGTCCACCAGAGACTTTGTGGAGAACGTTTTGGTCCAAACAATCCTGCCTAAAAACAACGCACCCATGGCTCTTCAGGACAGAGTCTTGATCATGATACAGGTGCGAATAAACCCTTTGTCAACTCAGCTAGCGCTCAGAGTAAATAGTGTCACATGATCCTTCAGAAACCACTCTAATATGGTAATTTGCTGCTAAAGAAACGTTTTTTTCTTATGGTTAAAAACAGCTTTTTTTTCAGGATACTTTTATCAATAGAAAGTAAAAAAAATACAAAGTTCTGGCATGAAACTGACATGAAAATGGCTCAGGCTGGCTTTAACTCATGGTGCGTTCACGTGCTATGGAAAATATGATATTTTTTATTTGTAAACTGGTATTTTGTTGTCGTAATGTGGTAAAAAGATGGCGATCCAGACCTGTTATTTAGCCAAAACTATTTTAAATTGCTTAAGTCATCTGCTACAGCAAGAAAATGATTCATCAAAACTCAAATGGTAAATAATATGCTGTATATTTTCTAGATCATGAATAGTACATATTTTGTGTATATCAATGTATATCATATCAAAGCGGTGTGTGTTTGTGTGTGTGTCTTTCTCTTTCACTAGGCGTGGTCCGATGCCTTCCGCAGCTCTCCAGATTTGACGGGTGTTGTAACCGTGTATGAAGATCTCAGGAGAAAAGGTGTGGAGTTTCCCATGACTGAACTGAATGGGTATTCCCCTATTCACACTCCCAACAGGGTATAACTGCTGCATTTTCAAATACTTGTTGAAGCAGCTTTTTATTAACAATTATAAATGCATAAATTCAATTTGGAATGCATAACTGTTAAAAAAAAGCTGCACATAGTAGATTATCTCTAGAGTGTTAGCATGCGATTTTTTGATTTATTAATTAATGCTTGATGCCAACAGACAGTTGAGTCCGCGCCTTCGGTAAGGGCGCATGCAGAAAGTCACACCATCAAATCCTCACAGCCACAGAGTACAGAGACACCCGTCACACTGTCACCTCAACAGGTATCACACACACCAGCATAGCAAAGCTAACTAGCATGTCACGTCACGTTTAAAGGAATAGTTCACTTCAAAATGAAAATATTCATCATTTACTCACTTTCAAGTTGTTCCAAACCTGTATGAATTTCTTTCTTCTGCTGAACACAAAGGAAAATATTTCGGAAAAAAAATACTATGGAAGTCAATGGGGTCCATCAACTGTTTGGTTTACGACATTCTTCAAAATATATTTTTTTTGTTTTCAGCAGAAGAAAGAAATTCATACAGGTTTGAAACAATTTGAGGGGGAGTAAATAATGACAGTATTTTCATTTTGAAGTGAACTATTTCTTTAAAATAAAGGATGGGTGGGGCAAAAAAAGATTGTTTTCCTCAGTGTTTTTGTCCTGTTTTCCAACACAAATATCTAAACATGTTTGATGCATTAACTTGAGATGCAAATGTAAAATGAAATCTTGAAATGACTCTTCAAAATGTTAAAGAGTCTATGCAAATATCAGTCAATGAGTTATGAAAATTTCCCTTTGAATTAAGTTGATTTTTCTGAGCCCATTGTCAGATATCTGTTCTTGTTTTAAGCATAAACTCAATGTATTAAATGCATCTTGATTTAAGAATCTTCTCACAATTGTACTGAGGAAGAACATCACTTTTGTGCAGTGTGTTGTCAGACGGTACAGTAAAAGTTCTGTACATATTCTGGATGTTGGAAGTTGCATTTTCAAATTCTAAAGTTTTGCTAATACAACTCATTATTTTTCTCCCTAGACATTCACATTTAGAGAAAATATTGACATATTGAGTTCTCTTCAATAAATTAAATATTCTTGCATATACATTTTTATATTTTCTTTACCTTCATAAAACCTGCAGATACCCTGAGAGAAAGGAAAATAGAATTAGAAATGAACAAATTGTGATGGATTGACTAAACATACTACAAAAGTAACCAGAGGGCCTCAGATTAGGTTTAAATGAATACTTTGTTTAATATTAATATTATTTAATAATTTGTACAGTATGTACATAGTAATTTGCATATTACATGGTATGATGGTCAATGCAAAAATAACCTCCAACCAGGTTATTTAGATGGATTTTATTTATTTATTTACTATTCTACACAACATGATATATATATATATGCACTCTTATCATTATGAATTAATTCTGTCACTGACCAATGAAGAATTATGGTGGTTACATATTAAATTAAGATTAATTTCTTGGCATTAATTAATGCATTATATATCATGAAGTAACTTTTTAGCATTTATCAAACTGGGTTCATGTTAATTTATGAATGAATATACTATTGCTCATTGTAATTATTTTAAATTAACTGAAATCTGTTAGTATATGTAGAAATGAACCAAGATAAGTATGTGAATGCTGTAAAAATGTTGTTTTTATAAGTATAATATTGAATAGTGCTGGTTTCAAGTGTGTTTGTGTTTCAGATGAAGACTTTGAGGGCCGAACTGGAGGTGGTGCGTAATAATATATCTGTGATGTCAGACATGATGAGTCAGATGGAGCCTGGAAGTCTCGAGCCGACGGACACAGAGCTGCTACAGGTTGGAATGGGACTCAAACACACACTCTTACTCTCTCCTGCATGTACACACTCATCCTCTAGTGTATAAATGTGATGGCCTGTTGCTGTTTCTCTACTCTCTCTGGCGGTCAGTAGCAGCTGTACTCCATGAGCAAGGACATGCAGGGCCGGATGGTGGAGCTCATACCCCGACTGACAGAGGAGCCGCTCATAGAGCAGTTACTCACTGCCAATGATGACGTTAACACCACGTTTGCACAATATCACAGGTTAGAGGCATGATGTTTGAGAACGTGCCATGAATATTTCATCTGTAAACTTTCATGTCATGCACATGGAGACCTGCAAGGTTTAAAAAATATGGTGAATAAGTATCTGATTGATGATAGATCTGGTCTGCTTTTATTATATTAAAAATAGTTAAAGTACACATCAGTTGTTTAGGTTAACAATTCCACCGTGAAGTTGTTTTTTCTTTACATTTCTGAGAGAATCTCACACACTATAAACACAAATTCCAAATAGCATGGTACTTTATCTTAGTTAGAAATAGTATTAGTAATAGTAAGAATAGTATGCTATATCCAACCAAAAACTGTGCGGGCACATCCCCAATTATCAAGACACTTGACCTCCTGACCTTAGGCACTATACACTCACCGGCCACTTTATTAGGTACCCCATGTTAGTAACGGGTTGGACCCCCTTTTGCCTTCAGAACTGCCTCAATTCTTCGTGGCATAGATTCAACAAGGTGCTGGAAGCATTCCTCAGGGAGTTTGGTCCATATTGACATGATGGCATCACACAGTTGCCGCAGATTTGTCGGCTGCACATCCATGATGCGAATCTCCCGTTCCACCACATCCCAAAGATGCTCTATTGGATTGAGATCTGGTGACTGTGGAGGCCATTTGAGTACAGCAAACTCATTGTCATGTTCAAGAAACCAGTCTGAGATGATTCCAGCTTTATGACATGGCGCATTATCCTGCTGAAAGTAGCCATCAGAAGTTGGGAACATTGTGGTCATAAAGGGATGGACATGGTCAGCAACAATACTCAGGTAGGCTGTGGCGTTGCAACGATGCTCAATTGGTACCAAGGGGCCCAAAGAGTGCCAAGAAAATATTCCCCACACCATGACACCACCACCACCAGCCTGAACCGTTGATACAAGGCAGGATGGATCCATGCTTTCATGTTGTAGACGCCAAATTCTGACCCTACCATCCGAATGTCGCAGCAGAAATCGAGACTCATCAGACCAGGCAACGTTTTTCCAATCTTCTATTGTCCAATTTCGATGAGCTTGTGCAAATTGTAGCCTCAGTTTCCTGTTCTTAGCTGAAAGGAGTGGCACCCGGTGTGGTCTTCTGCTGATGTAGCCCATCTGCCTCAAAGTTCGACGTACTGTGCGTTCAGAGATGCTCTTCTGCCCACCTTGGTTGTAACGGGTGGTTATTTGAGTCACTGTTGCCCTTCTATCAGCTCGAACCAGTCTGGCCATTCTCCTCTGACCTCTGGCATCAACAAGGCATTTCCGCCCACAGAACTGCCGCTCACTGGATGTTTTTTCTTTTTCGGACCATTCTCTGTAAACCCTAGAGATGGTTGTGCGTGAAAATCCCAGTAGATTAGCAGTTTCTGAAATACTCAGACCAGCCCTTCTGGCACCAACAATCATGCCACGTTCAAAGTCACTCAAATCACCTTTCTTCCCCATACTGATGCTCGGTTTGAACTGCAGGAGATTGTCTTGACCATGTCTACATGCCTAAATGCACTGAGTTGCCGCCATGTGATTGGCTGCTTAGAAATTAAGTGTTAACGAGCAGTTGGACAGGTGCACCTAATAAAGTAGCCGGTGAGTGTATTTATCCGTCAGTGTACTGCCCCCCAGTGGACAACAAAATAATTGCATGATGAACACAAAAAATGCATTGCCCGGGCATGTTATGCTGGTCTCATTTGCTAGCATTAGTTAATGGGTTGACTAGCAGTGAACAGTATATTTTTACAGCATGAATTAGCCTTTGTTAATGTTAGATAATAAAAATGTTCACATTTGACTTTTGATCTTAAAGTAATATTAATAAATGCTGTAGAAATATTGTTCATTCTTAGTTTATTTTCACTAATGTAGTTAACTAATGAAACCTTATTGTAAAGTGTAAACCATTAAAACTATTAAAAGCTTATTTGTTCATTGAAATGAATCTGATAAAATAAAATATAAATGTTAGATGGGAAAAAAGTTGACTCTGCAACTAACTGAAATAAGTTTAATAAGTTGAAGCTGCTGAAGGATTAAAAATACTAACTGGAAATTAATAAAAACTGTTATAAAAATAAATTAAAACTTAATAATAATATTAAAATAATAACAATTCAAATGACAAAAGCACATAACAAAACAAAACAAAAAAATGTTGAAAACAAATGAAAGTTATGTCAAATTAATGTTCCTAAAATGTTCCAATTGACCTAGATGATCCTAATATTGGCAATTATAGGAATTATGAAATTTCATTTATATGTTTAGCATGGCAGGGTTCCCACAATCTAGGCATAAAAGCTTGGCATACATTTCTGTAAATATATTACAATATATAGAAAAAAATCCTTGTAAACTAAGCATGACCAACTGTTGAACTCATGAAAATTGATTTGCTAAAAAAGTGTAACCCACATCAAATTAGTATAATTAATAACTTGTCTCATCTGTGTGACTCAACTACTTCTTTTTTATTTATTTTTTTCAGATTTGAAAGACATCTCAACCGACAGAGCAGTGCACAGTCTGTAAGAATTTATCCATTTAATATTAAATATTAATAGTATAGATAGATTCCTTACTTGATTTTTTTTTTTTGTTATTTTCCAGAATCCAGCAAATCCAAAAGCACCAAATAGTGCCCACAATGCAGTCAGCCAATCAACAGTGACCACACTATCCAATCAGATGGCAGGATTGAGTAAGTGCCAATTTTGCTTATATTTTTTTTGTCCACATTTTATTCTCAACCTTCAGTTAATAATACATAATTTTGTTGCATGATTTGCTACAGGCACAAAAACAGATGCGCTAAAACTAAATAAAAGCAGCTCATTACATAAAAGGTAAGAATTAAAGCAGTTTATATGTATAATTTGAGTCTCATTTTATTAAATTACATTAAAAACTAGAGCTGTGAGCAAATGTTATTGGCTATAAAGTGACCTTGATTGTTTAAATTGATTGCCCCTCTTTTGCTATTTAAAGGTTCCTAACTTTTCTCACAATGTCTGCAAAGATTGGATAAAGGATTCAATCTTTCTCTCTAAACCCCTCCTCTCCTAGAGCTACTCTGCTCTGATTGGTCAGATCTGTTGCCCAGTTTGTTGTGACTGGCCTTCTCTGCTCTGATTGGTCAGATCTGATCAATCAGAGCAGAGAAGCGCATGTTGGAAAGCAAACGGCCATAACCATATTTGAATTGGAGGCTTCCTCAGCAATGGATACACAGTGACTATAGTATATTTTTATTAGAAATAAAGTATGTGTTTGTATAATAGCCTGGAAATAATATGAGCATGTAAAGGGCCGTACACACCGGGACGAATATCGGCGAACGTTATTTGCCAGTGTTTTTCAACACGTTTTTTGTGTTCGCACCCAAGCGATTTTCGGTGACGATGAGCCGAGTAAACATGCAAATTCATTCCCTGACATTAGATGCCGCTCTGCAATAGCACTCCATATCAGTTCTCTTTTATGAAGATTTTTGTAGTCGCTGTCACGCTTGTCATATAGTTCTTTATGTTCTAACACCAACGAGACCAGCAGCTCTACATTAATCTTGCCTCGCATCTTCCTCGACTTATTTCTTCCTGACTGTGTAGACGGCGACTCTACTTGGCGTATAACCAGACAGTTTCTGGTCCCATTGACTTCTATATATACTACATATACTACTTCCATATACTATGGAAGTCAATGAGACTAGAAACTGTTTGTATACTGATGTTCTTCTAAATATCAGAAAATCGCCTGAATTGATTTGAAAACGATAAAACCAAACTGTTTAACTCTGGGGGAGTGGTAAAATGAGCCATTATTTATCCCTTTAAATAAACAGTGTGTTGTATAGAAAGTTTCTGTTGCTCACTTTGCATGATTTGATGTATTGTTTTTTGTTATATCCAAAGCAATTTACAATTGTGATTTCTCGATAGTCCAGAAAGCTGTGCAGCTCTCGATGGACCGGCAGCCACACAAAGACAGCGACAGGACACTGGAGCGGTAAGTGTCTTTAAATTATTTAACGCTACAGAAAGGATATCATGTTTGAAATGGTGTTCAAATAGCAGCTCTTTGTATCATGAGAGAGCAGTCAGGATGTTCCTCTGGTTGTTTTCACCTGCCATTGTTCCTCACTTAAAACGGTTGTCTGTCTATGTTAAGGATGACAGCCTAGACTCCACCTCCCTCGGCAGCTCACCTCAGTTTCATTGGATGCTTGAGAGGGGAATGGTGGGTCTGATTGGCCGATGAGATGGACAGTTGGTTGAGCTTGTGTACCTGTTGCTCTGGGCTCGTGTTTTATTTTTCAGCATGTCATATTTTTTTCTCCTTTGGTGAACGACGAGTGTCTGCTGTCTTGCTTTTGTGTCTCCTGCATGTTTTGAGCTTCATCGTCTTTATTTGCTGAAGGTTTTGTGGATCTTTTTGGTGTTTAGTTCATTCTGTCCTTCAGGCCTGCTCAGTGACGTATTTTTGGTGTTCCCATTTCAAACCAACTTGTTTCCTATTCTCAGGACTGAAACATACCGATTTTTCTTTTATACTTTAAAGTAGTGTAACGCTTGTTTGAGATGGGTGTGGTTTGGAACTGATAGTTGTACTTTATTATGCTAAAGTGAACTGATTCATATTTTTTGCTTCTGCTGTCAGATCCCTGTCAGTCAGACTGAAGTGATGGATGACATTGAGCAATGGCTTGACATGGAGGATGTGAGTGAAACGTTCTTAAACCTCTTAGAATGGGAATTGAAAGAGAAATAACAGTTTTAATTCTGATTCCACTTAACAATTGTGTATGTACTGTATGTATATATAAATAGGGCTGGGCAACGATTAAGTAAGGGTTAATGCCCGACGAGGTGTCCATTGTCAGGTTTTAATGGACGACGGCGAGGCGTAAACCGGCCGACGCGCAGCAGAGGACGGTTGCCTCCGCCAAGTCCATTAAAACCTGACAATGGACACCTCGGAGGGCATTAACCCGCTTATACCATGGTCACTTGCCAAATAAAACATTAGTTTATATTTTAATTAGGCTAAATCTAGTTTTTACAAATAATAACTTGACTGACTGTTTATCTAGCAACCGGAGATATTTATAGTCCGCTTAGCTCGTATCACTTCAGGTTCACAAATGCATTTTTTTTTTCATGAAACACACAGGTAGGCATAGTTTTTTTTTTTTATTACACATAAAACAATTAATCAAACAACAATAAAAAAAAACAATTAGCTCTGAGCTCCAGCGATTTGCGCTTAACGTTATAGAGGGCAAAAATTAATCAGATCAAAGAGAGGGTCATTTGCCTCAGGCTCCTTAGGCTTGAAACGCTGTAACGTTCAGCCTTCTCCTGCCTTGGTTGTCTGGACAGCTGCGTAAAACTCCCGCAGGGTCTCATTCAGGGGTGCGTTTCCCGAAAGCATCGTGTTATCCAACTATGGTCGCAAGTTACGTCGTTACCAATAGAGTTCAATGGAGCAGCGCAGCAGCGGTGTAATTTCCTCCGTTTTATTTACATTTTTTCTTTCTTCAGCAGCATACCAGTCGTCAAAGTTGCCATATTCTCCATAAATGTTAAAAGAAATAGCACGAAGTCGCTCATTGTTGTATTAGGCTATAATATCTAACGTTAGATAGAGCATGTGACTGCCTGTTGCTATGGTTACTCACAGCCGTTGTAGGCAGCGCATTTATTTATTAATTTCGAATGGTAAACAGGCAGTTTCACCAGAACTACTTTACTAGGTGTCCTCTATCACTTTTTAACGGACACCCTGCAGCCAATCAGAATCGAGTATTCACCCAGACCATGGTATAATCGCAATTAATCACATCCAAAATAAAAGTTTGTGTTTACATAATATATGTGTGTGTACTGTGTATGATTATTTTGTATATAAAAATTCACACACATGTATGTATATATTTAAGAAAAATGTGTTATTAATATAAAATATTTATATTTAATAAAAAAAATATATATCAAGTATATACATGTATGTGTGTGTATTTATATATACAAAATAACACTACACACACATATATTATGTAAACACAAACTTTTATTTTGGATATGATTAATCGCGATTAATCGTGTATATATATATATATATATATATATATATATATATATAGTAATGTTTAAAAACAATTTATTTGGCAATATGCATTAAATTGACTTAAATGACTTTAAAGACATTTATAATGTTACAAAATATTTCTACTTCTAATAAATTCTGTTCTTTTGAATATGCTATTAATCAAAGACTTGAATCCTATTTACATAATTTTTTTTTTATATAATTAAAAGATTTGTGAATGTCACGAAATGTTGCACTGAATCTTGCTATAAAACCAGAGATATTTATGAAGAAAGTGAAATCTTAAAACACTGATTATTGTTTCCTGTATTTCATAAGTATATTTTTGTGTTGCAGGAAGATGACTCAGAGGGGGTGACTAGTGAAGGTATTCTTCTTTTTGTATGCTTATGTACTAATATGGCTAATATGATAATGCTTTCAGCTACAAATAAGACTTGTACTATTATGGGAATAATATCCCATATACTATAAGCAGCAAGTAATGCCTTTTGCCACATTTATATCAATGCAGATTTTAAATGAACAGAGAAAATGTGTAAAAAATAAACAAATAAAAAATCCATGTCAAGATTATATTTTTGCATGTTCGCATGTAAGCTTTTCTTCTGCATGTTAAATTAGAGGCCAACTTTGAATGTTTTTTCCCCCAACCCCATTCTGTCTTGAATGATCCAGTCTTCCTCTTGTAAGAGTCTCAGTCAAACCTGCCGAATGTCCTTTAAGTCACGTACACCTACGCCCACACGCTACTCGTGATCTTTACTTCCTATTTAATGGAAGTAGTATGTGGCATTGTTGTGTTCCTGCTTGTGGGTTTACGCTGTATACATCTGCCCAATTCTTAACTTCTTATTGTAATCTGAAAACGCTTAGCTCGGTGATTCATTTTTACACTCTTTCTGGTACTTTCCAAACACAGCAAAAATGCTATTAGGCTTCATAAATGCATTTCTTTATATTATGGCAATTGCTGTATGTCCATATATGGCATTTCCTATTGTCTCAAGTCGTGTTTGAATCAAGGCAAGCAGCATTTCTTGCAGTTGTGTGAAAGACATAATTTCTCTTTCTCACCCTCAGAGTTCGATAAGTTTCTAGCGGAGAGAGCGAAAGCAGCCGAACGTCTTCCTTCAGTAAAAGCGTCACCCCACGACCCCGGCCGTTCACAGCTGTAGCTCTGGATTGGATTTACATCTCGACGTAAAACATTTGTTTCAGTTAACAACCATGTTCTTACTTTTCGGGTTGTGTATAGTAATTCTGGTTTATTTCGAACCATTTTAGGAACCTAACTTTAGGTGCGGGTTATGTGGATGTTTCATATTACATTAATTTTGATTTTGCAGATGCCATCTTATGAAATATTATTTATAACCAGACACTAATTTCTTCAGTAATGTTGTTTCAGTTGTAGAGGTCATTTTCTTTCATTGTTTAATGGAGAAAGCCTCAATGGTGACACATGAAGAACTTTATTTAAAGCGATACTCCACTTTTTTTGGAAATAGGCTAATTTTACAACTCCCCCAGAGTTAAACAGTTGAGTTTTACCGTTTTCAAATCCATTCAGCCAATTTTCTGCTATTTAGAAGAATATCAGTAACCAGAAAAAATATATATTATGGAAGTCAATGAGACCAGAAACTGTCTGGTTACTGATATTCTTCTAAATATCAGAAAATCGGCTGAATGGATTTGAAAACGGTAAAACTCAACTGTTTAACTCTGGGGGAGTTGTAAAATGAGCCTATTTCCAAAAAAAAGTGGAGTATCCCTTTAAGATCTTGATCGTTGAGGTTAAAGCCGTTGTCTGTATAAACTAAATGTTTTATATTAGACTGGTTTGAAGTGGCTCTTACAGAGAGAAAAATGGAAGTTTGTCGGTAAGTTTCTTTCTTACAATAATTGTGGTTACTGTATGTCTCTAGAGAAGGGGTGGCGAACATCCTGGAGAGATTTGCTCTAACCCTGATAAAACTGGCATGCCTTTAGCTTTTGAGTAACCTCAGAGCTTGATGAGCTTCTTCAGGTGTGTTTGCTTAGGGTTGATCAAAACTCTGCAGGACTGTGGCTCTCCAAGACCTACATTCGCCACCCTTGCTCTAGTATATGAGCTATTAGTGTTTGTAATCCATGTACAACCTTAAACAGCTCATTTTAGGGGTTATGTTAAAATATATTCAATAAAATTAAGGTTATTTTAAAATGCGTTTATAACTATAAATACACACACACACACAGCATGTTTTCTGTATATAGAGAGAGTACTGGTACACATTCTCTTTTTGTGTGTATAGTTAGTTTGTCAAAACATACTTGAACAGTAATCAAGAATGTTTTGTTAATGATTACTAATCTATTAGTGAAACAATGCAGCAATGATATTCTGTCTCTTCAGCAATTGTCCGAAGAGTTTGCACAGTACCTAACACCGGTATATTTGTAGAAGTACACTAACTCCGACTGAACACGTTTCGCAAAACATAACTTGAGGCAAGCCTGTTAGAAGAGATTTGCATGTGTTGCTTGACCTCTAGCGTAATAAATAAAAGCCGCAAAATTGATTCGAATCATTTTACTTTATTGCTCAAAACATGTAACATATGCAGGCAGCAAAATCCACATTGTAGACATATATATTTAAAACGTACCACACAATGCAAGACTTTCAAGCAAACTTCATTTATGCATTCCTTTTTGGAAAATAAATAGTTATTTTTAACCAAATAATTAGCAACTTCATAATAAGACACTTCCTTATTGTAAAAAAGTCCATTAACTAGGTCATGTTCGTTTTCTGTCTAAATAAATATTATTAAAATAAGGCACAATGAAGCTTAAGTTAGAGTGCATGTAAAGGTAAAGGATAAGTGCTATCAAAATCAATGGGAGAGGACAGTCTTTAGTCAGGCACTATTCACACTGTAAAGTTGAGTTCAACACAAAATCAATCTGCTTGTAACATTTTGGAGCTGAATCCAACAAAACTAACTGTTTAGTTAAGAAACCCCCATATAATAAAACGATAAAAACTCATTACCTGTCTTCACTGTAAGCGACTGGGCATGCAGTGTTGCTCATTTGCTGTGTAGACAGCTTTGATACAAACTTCCAGTGTAGGCACTTCGTGAGAAGTCAAAACACTGTCATGTCAGGACAGGCACTAACCCAAGTTCTTATAAATACTCAGGTAATGTGAACAAGTGCTTGTTGCAACACCCTTGAGGAAAATCACATGACTCTAGGAAATTCAGGTGTTTAGGGATTCCCCCAAAAAATCCTACTGGAGGCATTAAATTAGATCTCAAGTTTCAGAAGATAGATATTTCCACATATTATAAACTACATTTCCAATTCTGAGATGGAAAGTAAACCGTTCAGCCACATACTCACCTACATATCATTACAAACCTGTACGACTTTGTTCTATATTAACATAAAAGATATTTTGAGAAATTAAGATTAAATTTGAGAAACAGATTACCTCTTCTTCTGTTTTTGCCATTTGCTCTCTAGGGCTCTTTTTACACCTGGTATTAAGATGTGTTTGTCAATCGGATAACAAGTGGACGACACTAAATAAGTGTAAACGGGGTCTAAAACTTTTTGGGTTAGAAGTCCAGAGGCAGTCAAACAGCCATAAAAGACCGGCGACTCTAGCCCTTTGCGCTCTAGCCTTTTGCGCTCTAGCCTTTTGCGCTCTAGCCTTTGTCGGCTGGAGACACAAATTTGGTTTAAAGATAGATAAATATGCTGCATAGAGGTTTAGTAAATAGTACATTTAATTTATAAAGCACATTTACACATAGCATAAAACTGACCAAAGTGCTGTACAGTGAAGCACAGAACACAAATATATGTACAAAGAAATGAGCAGGAGTGCAGGGTTAGGGCACAAGGAAGGCCAGGGAATAAAAATGGGGTTTTAGCCTGGATTTGAGGGCAGAATGGGATCTAATATCCAGGGGGAGCTGGTTCCACAGACGTGGAGCAGAAACTGCAAAAGCTCTATCACCCCTCTGAGCCGTGAGCACGGCACATGCAGGAGTCCTTTGTTTGAGGATCTTAGTGACCTTTGAACTGAGTATGGCTGTACAAGGTCAGTAATATAGGTTAGGGCCAGCCCATTTAGTGCCTTAAAAACAAACAATACAACTTTGAACTGAATCCTAAAAAGAACTGGGAGCCAGTGCATGGAGGCCAGAATGGCCAGTTAAAAGACGCGCAGCTGCGTTTTAGACTAACTGCAAACATCTAAGTGAGGATTGGGGGAGGCCAAGGTAGAGGGAATTACAATAATCCAGCTGTGCTGTAATAAACGCATGGATAACTTTCTCAAGGTCATTGTGAGATAGGAATGATTTTAGGCAGGAGATCATTCTGAGCTGGTAAAAAACATTTTTGACAACAGAGATAATCTGTTTATCAAGGCAGAGTTCTGGGTCAAGGATGACACCCGGGTTCTGGCATAGGGTTTGACACAAGGGGTGACCTAGATTTTGCACTACAGTGCATCTTGCCTTGGGAGCTCAAAAATTACGACTTCTGTCTTGTCACCATTTAACTGGAGAAAGTTGTTAGCCATCCACCTTTTGATGTATTCAAGACTTGTATTGAGTCTGTATTGATTATAGAGGCAAGTACAGCTGCGAGTCATCCACATAAAACCTGACTGAAAAAGTTCTATTATGTTGTGAGCAGTGTTGTGCAAGTTACTTCCAAACTGTAATACATTAGGTATTACTTGTTACTGTTGTTTAAAAGTAATTCATTACCTTACAATATTACTGTCACAGAATTGCAATGCGTTACATTACTCATGTATTACTTTTGAGTTACTTTCACCAAAATAACTAAGTAGAACTTAACTTTTGGGCTGTAACGATATGCAATATGAAACCGAAATCGCGATTCGCCACACGACTCAGATCCACGAACCTACAGAATCGCGACACACCTCTTCCAACTCCAGCGTTATTCTCCTTACCGTCCATATCCAATGCTGCCTTATCTTTACATTAGGCTATTAGTATTATTTGAAGTTAACATTATAAAATACGTAGACCTACACCACAAAACTAGTTGAGGATAAATTATTTAAAATTGGGGAAGTCCAGCATTATGGACATGATGACATTTGCAGTCAAAACTTGAAATAAAAATTCTCAGAAAATACATGTATTGAAACGTATATAGGCTACTTCCTTAAAGGACTGCAGACATTAGACAAATATCAGTCTATGTTTTATTTTTAATATTAGGGGAAAGACACACATTCATGCGTGACAAAAAAATAGGAGGCAAAATATATTTTTTGTAATTCTGTTAATTACACTGCGCAAATCGGATGAGGAAGGATTGCCTCTCCAGTCTCCATAGAACTTAAAATATTCATTTTATTTTAGTTTCCGTGTTCGCATTTATGAGGAAAAAACAATGTTACAGACGCGACCGCTCTGAACTGGCACTAAAAGACTGCTTTAAAACTTTCACATAGTTTGTTGCCTTTAAGAAGTAAAAGCAGACAATACACTGTAATACAACTGTAATACAAGCCTCACTGAACATGTAACGAGTAAAATATTACTGAAAATTGATTAGTAATGCCTTACACTACTGCGTTACAGCAAAAAGTAACATGTTACTGTAATGTATTACTTTTGTAATGCGTTACTCCCAACACTGGTTGTGAGTGGTCAGAAAGGGAAACTGTGACAAAACAGCTTTTTCCAGAACTTTAGAAATGCTATTAAAATGATGCATAGTTTAGTTTAATTATGGTTATAACGCAGTTCTGATGTCAGAAGTAAATGACGACTACTATGTTCACTCGTACGTCCAACAACAAAACACCTTAGTTGCTTACGAGACATTCTGGTCTACAGCTGCTCCGCGTCTGTGTACAGCACACTCAGGGCAGGTCTATGCTAATACGACAGTGTCCATCAACAGTCATTGGCGGGGCCTGTGCAAACGTACGTCACTTTGCCCTGAATCTGAAAACAGTTTGTTCTGAGACAGAGCTTACGATTTATGTGGAATAATGATAAAAAAAAGATTAAAAGCATGACCTTATCATGATTTCTCTGTGAAAACATTCATCCAATTTTTTTTTTTTTGCACCAATAAGTGCATAAGCTCATCAAAACGGTTATTAACATTAATCAATATTTGAAACAATAGTACCCGTATATATCTTAAGGACACTTCACTGGTACAGTGCTTTTTTTCTCTTCAAGTTGAACGGCTGTTGATGACAGCTTGCATTGACCTTAACCAACTTAGGTCCGTTTCGTGCAATAGATGAAACTCCCTCTTTGCTCATTTAAGTGTTCTTGACATTCAAGGTGATCCATAAGTGTATATGGCCTTTGTCAGGTTTGGCAAAAGTCAAGATCGTGCTGTCCAGAGGGTCAAAGCAAAAGGTCAGTCACCCAAAAGCTTGGGCACGGTGTGTTCTCCTGAGTGCACAGTAGTAATAAAGTTCCTTGACCAGTACACATCACATTCTGTCAGTGGGACGGACATGTCGAGCAGATTTGAGGGGAAGTATATCCATCTTCTGAGGCTTTAAACTTGGCTTCAAATGTTCGTCCAAGAATTCTTGGTCATCAATTCATCAAAAATGATCATCTATCTAGAAAAGAGGTGAAGAGATCATGAGCAATAAGAACATGGGCATTAAGACCCATTAAGACCCACCAAGACTCCTTTGTTAACATGAACAATATATTTTACTGCATTTATTAATAGTGCATTAATTACTGTAAATGGATACAAATTAATCTTAAAAATGTATTTGAAAATATTGAGATTATCGAAGATTAACAAACGATGTGGAGTATTGTTCATCGTTTGTTCACGTTTACACGTGTTAAGTGTTACAAAGATATCTATAAAGATAAATATATTAGCGTCCATGGCAATAAACAATAACATTGTTTATTATAAGCGTGCTGTCTCATGAGCCAGCTGTACACACTTGTATATGCGTGTTATTCAGAGAAACCTTGCAGCTGAAGCTCTAATTCAGCTTTTCTTTCTCTTTAACTGTATATAATAGAATGCATTTAGGATAAAATTAAATTGTATTTAATCTTTTTATTATATAATTTTATATATGGATTCTATTTGGTGCTTTTTGTGCATTCACGCGTCTGCCGAGTTGAAAAATCTGAGCTTGGGCATCAATTCGTGCCACGTTAACCAATTAGGAGCATGCTTACTGCTGTCACGTGGTGAAGTGACATGATAAACGGGGGCAGGCTTTTCAGTTTATAATGTTATTTTATATGTTGAAATTATTTTGTATTGTAATATGACTAAATGCCTGGTGTTATTTTTAATGTACAACAGAGCAAATATTTGATCACGTAAAAGCTTGATTTCAATATATGAGACATTAATTTTGTATTGAATGCTATTTATTCCATTTCTAATCTAGATTATATGAAAAATGATTTAGTCCTTTGCCTCAAATACAGGATTATACATTCATTTCAACAAGCAGGTTGTTCATTACCAACAAGCACTTTACACTTTCTCCCCATGGATATCCGTTTGCTACCATTAGCTGTAGGGATGGGCGATATGGACTTAAAAATATATCACGATATTTTCTGCCATTTATTGCGATAACGATATCAATGACATAAACCATATTCACCACTGTTTTTGGCTAAAACAGTGATAGCTGCAAGTAAAATGTACCCTTCATCAAATAGGCTTCTATAAACTACCAATTACCGTACATACAATAATTTAAAAAACAGTAAAAATCCAAACGCCATCCCTGTGTAAAGCCCGCCCCAACGTTTCTGATTGGTGCCGCGATTTTGACGGATTGGAAATGAGCTTGAATGAGCTCTTTGCCAGACTAACTTTCAGAGCAAATCTAAAATTGCCTGGAAGTTGTCTGGGTTTTCCCAGGCTATGAGTAGCCCCAATGCCCTCAATAATGCGGAAGATGGGGAAAATCCTTTGACACACATCCTATATAACCCTTCTTGACACAGTCTTCAAACATTCATCAAAACCATCTGTCAAAACTACATGATACATGACTAGGAAAGCTAATAGGTCAAATCTTCTGTCAAAACGATGAAATATAATAGGATAGTCAATAGGTCAAGCTAACTGTCAAAAACACATGATCAACGGATAACAAGGTCAAAGGTTAATCCCTAACCCCTACACCGGAAGGTCAACCTGTCAATCAAATAGGCCATCAATCATTTTGACATAAGCCGGGTGGTAATAACTACTTAGGGGGTTCCCAGGACAGGTTTGAGAAGCACTGTGACTGTTCTATAGGGCTGGACCCGAATATTCGTTCGGTCGGTTGGGATTCGATTTGAAAATGTAACATTCAAATATTATTATTTTGTTGTTGTTTTTTTTTGCACAACTGGCATCCCCCTCGAAACAGTTCTCATTCGCACTTGAATCTGGTGAAATATAATACTTAAATACTTTGTTATAGCTACTGAATAAATATATTTGCTTCTTCATGGACTACTAAAAGTGTTCCTGCAATGGGAGCATTCTCTGGCTAGAGCGCAGAACACCGGAGTTTGAATGGACAGAAGTCCATGCCTCTTATTTTAGGTTAAAAAGTGTTACTTTGACATTGTGGAAAATAGAATAGAAACAAAATGTATTATCCTTTTTTCCCATTATTATCAATCTAAATTAATTTTCTTCGAAATATAGGAGACTTTGAGATGTTACTGGGGTGTCACGTCACAATTTCATTTCAAATTTCATTTTTCACTATTTAAATTTCATTTTTATTTATTTAAATCGACCCGACTTTGTCAGTGTGAAAAATATTTTAAGACTATACCTTATTAAAAATATTGCTTAAGTTAACAGACCTGTGCGTGTTTTTTATATTCCTAGTGCAGTGTCCGTTCTCGGACCATATAAGCTCTGCTTGCGTGAGCCGTGCAGCTTCCCGAAGCATCGAAGCTCAAAAAATGGTATTCAGATCAGTCCTACTATTCTAACAGATACACAATACTGCATGCAAATGAAAGCCAGTGTAGGTCACAATTAATTTGTCTCACCTCTATGAAGAATATGGACGAACGGAGCTTTGGCCATGCAATAATGGTGACGTTTCTTCCACTGAAAGTTTTATTTCTGGTAAAACATTACATATCAATTAATTTTTACCACAGTTTTTCATAGTGTTTAGAATGAATAAGGGTCACACTGTATTTTTGGTGTCTTTAACTAATATGCTCTTGCATAAAATTTTTAGGAACAATGTGTTAATTGTTTTTATGTTGTTTTGCAAAACACTGCTAGGCTAGTGACTGGGTAAGGTTGGGGACAGGTTTGGTGGTCTGGTTATGGTTTAAGGGGGAAGGGACGGTCGACAGTGTAATTATAGATGTGATTCGAGAAATAAATGACATGCAGGTATTTTTTAAATACAAGTAAATTGTATAAAAAAAATAAAAATAAAAAAAGTCTATTTGGATCCCAATTTACTCTCTGGGAGTCTGACAACTAATAATACAAAACTACATTAATCAACAAAAATAAAAGCCAATAAAACAGAAAGTTTTAAAACCCCAAATGTGTTCCAAATTTCAAAATCAACAATTTACTATACATTGTAAAGATTTTTTTTAATCTCATTTTACTTGTAAAAAATGTCATATCTGGTGGCAAGTCATTCCATATTTTCATTTCTCGATCTATACATTACAGTCCATTGCTTTGCATTGGTTTTTGAAACAGGAAGTAAAAAACATTCTTTTGATGTATGCTGCATATTAAAATTATGACTAATTCTACTATAGAAAAGTTGACAGTACAAGACATTAGGAACTCTAGATACTGAAATATGTCTTATTAAAAAAAAAAGCAAGGAGATAATCATCCTATCCTTCCCAAATGGCCAACCCAAGGTTTACACAAAAAGTGCATTCTGCATTGTATCAAATGATTAAATGAAATGTTACTACATAGTAGTTAAAGACACTTATAAAGAATCTTAATATATAACACTTTATACAATACCACACATTAATAAATATTAACATAACTCAAATTATTACTTATGTTCTCAAATGATTACTTATATTAGTTTTGTACTTATGTTATTTTGTTATTCTCATTCATGAACTACTTATCTATTCGGCATTAGGTTATATATTAGTTAATGACTTCAAGGTATAGTGAAGTGTTTCCCAATGACAGACACAGTAGAAATCAGTAGATACACACCCTCCTCCACAGGTCCACTGCAGCACAGTGACAGGAGCATCCAGACTCTTCGCAGAGGCCTCCAAACACACCCAAACACACCACCTGCGATACAAGATAATAATTATATCTCAGCACTGATCTCTGATTGTCCCAAACATCTCTAAAATAGATTAAACCATGAACTCGACTTAAACTAGTTTATAATAACTTCTAGTAAACGGAATCCATCACGAAACCGTCGCGTGTTTTGACAGACACCTTAAGATGTGTTCGCTAATGTCCGACCACAACCACAAGTCACTTCTATTTCGAGGTTCATGTTGCGTTTAACAGTGTGAAATCCCAACATCAACTGTGAAATCGCAATGTCAACTCCGAAATAATTATAGTGGACGATATTTTGATCTAAGCAAAAAAAGGAGAATCTTTCAGTAGGAAACTGCATGTTGGAATACTCGGCGCGCGCCGGTGACGGTGTTTCATCAGAAAGGCGCCAGAGTAAAACAACGCATTTCTCACCTCTGGTGTTGGTTTCCATACTAGTAGTATTAGTAAGGTAAAGCAATCGTTGTGTTAATTTGTCCTTTAAACACTTAATTTACAAAGGTCCGGACAGGTCCAAGCAAACTTCACCAGGCAGTGTGTGTGTATGAGTGTGTGAGGTGGTGAGCTCAAGCTCGCGCGTGAAGATTCGAAATGGGAGGGATAAATAGAAAGCCTGAAGTCCCTCCTCTCCCTTCCCCTCATGGGACATTATTATTTAACTTATGGCAGTCAATGGCGAGAGACAACTTATCTTTTTATTCCTTCTGAACTGTGCCCTGAATTATACATGATGTTTGTCAATTTAAAAGATACATTTTAAAGTCAAGAAAGTCGCAGTTTGATGTACAACTGTTGAGGTAACGTGAACTTATAAGACTGAAAATAATTACAAAGACTGCAACTTTTGCTACAAATTGCAGTTTAAAGTTAGCCTGCATTTTTATTTATATTTCGGAAAAATGCTTAACGTTACATTGCACTTGTTTCTTCAAGTTGCCTGTTTCTCTTCCTAACGTTAGATATAACTTACCGAATAATATGCGCTTCCCCAACATTATTCTACATTTCTGTAACAATCAGCTTCCAAAAAGTGCAAGTCTCATTGAGAAACATTATGACTTGGTAAGATATTTCACGTTACATTATTAAAGAGGACATTGTTAATAAAAATAATAATCACAAACAAATGATGACCTTACATTTCTGCTAAACTTCAAGTTCAACAAGTGCTCCCAGTGCCTGTATGACTTTTTAATTGTATAAATGCAATAATGGAACAACTTAATTATGTTAAAGACATACTTATCGTAAGTTACCTTTTTAATTCCCCCTTCTCATGTCAATTCTGCCAGCTGTTGCAATAAGGAAATGAATGAACTCATTCCATCTCCTCTTTTTGTGAAAATATCGGCAGTATCAACAGAATTAAATGGCCTTACTCGGCATCTTTTTTTCTTCAGTGTTTTTACCAAGAGAGCCATTATAATGGTTCAATATCGTTGTTTTAATAAGTCCTGAAAAGAGAGAGAGGACCACGTTGCCTGTTGCCGAGAAACCGGTTTTCCCGCGCGTGTTTGGGGCGGGCCATGTATATGTCTATGGGGGCGGGCGTCGCTCTTCTTTGCTTGCTTTTTGGTTGAGAGGGAATATGGAGCATCGCGCCCCCTCTGTTGATCACTAACACCCGTTTATGCTGTTTATTTTCCTCAGCAAATCATAAAAATCGTAAAATAGTCGATGTAACGTGGCAGAACGACATCAGTTTCTAAAATCACTAGCACTATTGTACTGACAATAACAACAAAACCACAAAGACTGAATGAACTATACAACTCTTGAGTAAATGTTATTTTGTAAATGGTAATTCACATTTAAACAACTGTTTGGCTTACTCTGAATGTCAATGCGGAGGGGAAAAAAAGAATAATGTGTCATGTGACAGTAGGTTTTAAAATCCAAAATAATAATAAAAAAACATGTAGGATATCAAGCAAAAACACAAAAGGAAATCATGGGCTAGTTTGACTTTTTCTCTGTCTTTTGACTTCCGGTCTGTATTTTCACAGCGATCTTGCATAGGAATTAATGAACTGCTCGGAAAAAAAAATCGACATTTGTTAAGACATCTGCTTTAACAATGCTTATGATAAACATTACAATGCTCGTGATAACTTTTGTTAACTCTACAATTAGTAAATCCATTTCACCAGCTAATTACTCCTCGGCAGCAATGCCATTCAGAGCAACCGTAAAAACGAAAGTTCAAAGACAATATTCTAAAGATGACGGCTCCAACGTTTCTCTGGTGCATAGGCTAAGGTCTATTAATACTTGTAAAAAGTATCAAAAGTTTTGGTATCAAGACCTTCATCAGGCCTTGAATTATCAATGAGATTCCCATTTATTGAATTCCACAATATTTCAAATGTACGTGTTTTGATGAGTACTGTAGCTGTTATGAGATGAACAAAGAAATGTCTTTCATTTATTTATTTTTTTCAAACGGATGTTCTTTGTGGTTTCAACCCGCCATTCAACAAAGAGGAAGAAAAGTAGAAATGACTGTGAAAAAACTGTGTTTGTCATTAACCACATTTTGTGCAGCAGTGCAAATCAACTGAATCTATTATGCATTTGCAAATCTCATTACATAAGATTTTAATATATCTTTTACCTTAAATAGATGCGTATAAACCATAAAACAAAAGAAACTAGGCCCATAAAAATGTCTTAAGGCAAGTTTTCAACGTTAAATGTAAAGAGTCATCAGCCTAACATGCAAAATTATTTCCTCACTTGTCCACGTTTACAGCCTCAGTGTCCTTATAATCATTATTTTGCAAGCTATAACTCAAACTTTCAGGGAAAATGTTTTTGAAATAAAGACTGAAAGAGTTGTCGGAAGTCGACAACTCTAATGCCTATATAACCGACATGGAAATGTCGGTGTTATAAGCTTCAGAATCATACATCTTTGTTCTTAATCTGCCAACCAAAGGTGATACCCAGATTTTTAAAATGCACATCGCTGGGGCCTTTCACAAATACAGTAGCGCTAAAAATGACAATCTGTGTGAAATGAAACTGCTCCGAGACTGGGAGATGTAGATCCAAATGCAGCTTTATTAAGAATAGTCGTACAGGCAGGGTCGAGAAACGGCAGACAGGACAATGGAGAATAAACAAAGGGAATAAGAAACAGGCAGAGGTCAGGGCAGGCAGCAATAATCAGAGTCCAAGAAGAATCCAAAGTCAAAAACAGAAACCCAAATACGAGAAACCGCTAGGAAATGCAGATACACAGTAAAACAAGACTTCGCAAACAGTGAATGTGAACACAAGGTATATATAGACAGACTAACAGGATGAGACAGAGGTGAATGCAATCAGTGAATGAGGTACAGGTGAATGTGATCAGTGATAATGAGTCCAGGCAGTGAGTTCTGGGAAATGTAGTTGTGAGTGAAACATGAACATCTGGTGTGGAGTGCTCTCTGGTGACTCTCAAGGGCACTCCACCTGGTGACCGTTTCACTGTGTTCTCATGCAATTGTAAAAAAAAAAAAAAAAAAATAGACTTTAATTTCTGGGCAATCAAAGCAAAATACTCATCAAGTTTGAATACTGATTAAATTACAGCTAAGTATTATGGTATTATCAGAATAACAATGCCATGCTTTTTTTACTTTCTTTCTTTCTTTAAAAAAAATTGAGCCAGAGGAACTTGAAAATCTTCATTCCATACTTGACTCAATTTTCCATTTCAAGTGAATAAATGAACCGGAGGTGGTTCTTTGGGGAAGGCCTTTTCCAGGAGAGCTGCTCCAGAAAGTGTAAAGATGGTGCTCCTAATCCATACACATGTGGGGGACAGATGTGAGTGCCCATGAGCAATGACCCAAAGAACCATAATATTGTATGTAGAAATAATTGTGTATTTACCCGAAACTCCATCATCTTCTTCTCGATTCAAAACCAAGGATGGGCAGAGCTAGGAACATCACTGATGATGGGCATTAGTTGTGTTTCTTCCTCTGATGGTTTTATTTCTAGTAAGACATCATATACAGAATGCATTTTCATGGTGTTTATTAAAGCTTTAGAGTAATATGAACAAACATTGTAAGTTAACTGATCTGTAAAGTGAAATTATATTTTGGATACATACCAGAGTCACCAGTCTCATGGCAGCACAGAAGTCCCCAGACTCTTATTAGAGGCCTCCAGAGACATTCAAGTATACCTGTGGGAAGAATTTTAAATGCCTCCAAAAGACTTCAATTTCTTAACACTGTGTATTAAAACTATGTAAAAAAGAGTATATTTAAAAGGCTACTCGATCAAAAGAGTTAACCCACTTCAAGCCAAGTATAATTTGAATGTTTAATTATACTTTTAAGTATATCTCGATCAAAATATTAAGAATAAGCAGGCCAAATACTTGGACTTTTTTCTCAGTATAAGTCAAGTCAAGTGTAATTTGAAGTATATTTCTGAGAAGTACATAAAGTGTAGACTGAAAGTATGTGTTCTTATAGTTTAAAAGATGTATACTATAGCACACTTGAATAAACTTCTTTTCATAAGGGACGTCGCTGAGATTTTGGGTTTTATTTCCTTTTTTTTTTATTATTATTTTCATCCGCAAACAGTGATCAACGTAAAAACCGAAAACCATTCAGATTTTAAGGCAAATCTATAAATGTAAGTGATGTTGATAATCTTTATTTGTTGCTGATATTTTTGTTTCGGCTAGGCTAGAAGTTCTGAATGGACATGTACATGAAGAGAGAGAGAGAGAGAGAGAGAGAGAGAGAGAGAGAGAGAGAGAGAGAGAGCAGATAGATAGATAGATAGATAGATAGATAGATAGATAGATAGATAGATAGATAGATAGATAGATATAGAGTTGGTGAGCCTTTAAATAAAATGGTTATTTGGCTATTTACTCTGTCATATACAATAAAAGAGCCTGAACAGCAACATGAAATAGAAGTGAACACAAAAAAATCTGCCTGCCCCCTTACACAACTTATTAGAGTGTTTATTAGAGTGTTTATTAGAGCGGATGCGGATGCGCATGCCCATTTTTTTGCGCCAGCCCGACCCCGTCACACAGAAACCTGTGCAAGTCAGAAACATGATTTAGGAAATGTATCGGCTATTAGTGAGGACACATAAAAAGAGCACACCTGTTATGATCTTTCTATATGAGTGAGGAGGAAATTTAGCCTAACCCTCACGATGGATTGTTTAGCCTACTGCTTGTATGTCTTGACATGTTCTGTTTATTAACATTGCATTAGGCTAATTAAAAAAAAGTAGACTATAGGCTACGGTAGCTAAATAAGTACTAGGATAGCCTCCACTTAAACATATTTTTTTTTACTCAAGCAAACCAGCTTACGATCTAAAAACCATCTCGAAAACACCGCAACGGAACGCAAATCGGTAGTCCATTTCAGTTCCATTGTAAGACTTATTTTGCATTAACCAACTCCAAAATAGTTAGCACGTTTAATATAAATAAGTTGGGACTGTATAGCAGCAGCAGCAGAAAAAGGGTCAAGTGCCATGCCAATTATGACACGAGTTTATAAAGATGCTGCCGTTAAAAGTAGGCTATAACTAGGCTACACAATTCTTACCTCCGTTATTGCTTTCCATGTCAGTCATTGTCTTTGAATTCTCAAGAGTAAATTTTAAATGCGACAGGTGTCGGCGGTGCTGTGCCATGTAGAACAAATATGACAAGGGGGAGGAGCTGGCGTGTGAAAAGTTCTGCCATTGGTTGGAAGTCACGATTGAGTGTGAATGAAAACTTACAAACGGGGGTTTTTTTCAGAGGAGCTGGGTAAGGAAGGAGTTGACGCAGAGCCATGTAGCCTATTGGTTCACCGAGTGACTCAGGGAGCTCCGGTGTGACTCAGGGAGCGTGAACTTCAGTCAGTGTAGTAGGTTACTGAACAGGTTATGTGACTTACTTACCCGGGTAAGTTTAGGAGTAAGTAAGCGGATAACCTCTGCTTTCGGTTCCAAAAAGTAACCATAGCAACCGACTCTCTGAGGATAACCTGCTCCGGAGCAGGTTGTTGTATAGGGTTAGTTTGTTTCAGAGAGGTGACGGAGCATGGCGTGCCCTCTTGAAGACGATCCAGTGGATGTGGAAGCACAGATAATACGGATAATATATATATATATATATATATATATATATATATATATATATATATATATATATTAGGGCTGTCAGTTTAACGCGTTATTAACGGCGTTAACGCAAACCCATTTTAACAGCGTTCATTTTTTATCGCCCTATTAACGGTCTTTTTGTCCTAGCAAACTTAGTTCTCACATGCTTTTGCAACAGGACACGGCATGCGTCCTGATCCATTTCGGCGTCTCGCGCTCGTCATAAACTCAAAGCCGGCTCACAAGCCGAAACGTGTGTTTGCGGCGTGCCTGTTGTTTTGTTTACGGTCTAGATCCGCTTGCGCTTTGGTCGAAGAAGCAACAAAACGCAGTAGGGGTTCAATCTTCAACTGGCTGGCAGGAGCTGCCACTGGCAGGTCACGTGACTGACTGGCAGCTGCCAGTGGCTGACTGGCAGCTGCCAGTGGCTGCCAGTGGCTGACTGGCAGCTGCCAGTCGCTGCCAGTGGCTGACTGGCAGCTGCCAGTCGCTGCCAGTGGCTGACTGGCAGCTGCCAGTCGCTGCCAGTGGTTGTCTGTCAGTCTAGTTTCAGAAACCATTGATTATTGACAGTTTTTGTGTTTTGTGTTCCTCCCTTTATAGCTCATTTATTATGTATCTGTTGAAATTATTGTTATTAGTAGTAGGATCGCAATTTAATAGTCAAATGGCCGTGATCAGACTGGCAGTATAGACGCTGCTGGACTCATCCAGTCAGCCGCGGGTGATCAGCGAATATAACGCGTTGCCTGACATTCTCGCTAAAAGGAAATAAATTGTTTTCTTATAATGAATATAATGTCATGTCTTTATTCTTGTGTATGATTGGTGTTTTGGGTACTGTTGTCGCGATTAAACCAGTCAAATGGCCGTGATCCGACTGGCAGCTTGCAGACGCTCGCTGGACGCTAGTCCAGTCAGCCGCGGCTGAGACTGCGAGTCTAACGCGTCGCCTGACACTCTCGCTACAAGGAAATACATTGTTTTCTTTTTATAAATATAAACCCATGCCTTTATTCTTGTGGAGGAATGATGTTTTGTGCACTGTTATCCCAATATAACCAGTCAAATGGCCGTGATCCGACTGGCAGCTTGCAGACGCTTGCTGGACGCTCATCCAGCCAGCCGCTGCTGATCAGGGAATATAACGCGTTGCCTGACACTCTCGCTAAAAGGAAATAAATTGTTTTCTTATTATGAATATAATATCATGCCTTTATTCTTGTGTATGATTGGTGTTTTGGGTACTGTTATCCCAATATAACCAGTCAAATGGCCGTGATCCGACTGGCAGCTTACAGACGCTCGCTGGACGCTAGTCCAGTCAGCCGCGGCTGAGACTGCGAGTCTAACGCGTCGCCTGACACTCTCGCTACAAGGAAATACATTGTTTTCTTTTTATAAATATAAACCCATGCCTTTATTCTTGTGGAGGAATGATGTTTTGTGCACTGTTATCCCAATATAACCAGTCAAATGGCCGTGATCCGACTGGCAGCTTGCAGACGCTTGCTGGACGCTCGTCCAGCCAGCCGCTGCTGATCAGGGAATATAACGCGTTGCCTGACACTCTCGCTAAAAGGAAATAAATTGTTTTCTTATAATGAATATAATGTCATGTCTTTATTCTTGTGTATGATTGGTGTTTTGGGTACTGTTGTCGCGATTAAACCAGTCAAATGGCCGTGATCCGACTGGCAGCTTGCAGACGCTTGCTGGACGCTCATCCAGCCAGCCGCCGCTGATTCAGCGAATATAACGCGTTGCCTGACACTCTCGCTACAAGGAAATAAATTGTTTTCTTATAATGAATATAATGTCATGCCTTTATTCTTGTGTATGATTGGTGTTTTGGGTACTGTTGTCGCGATTAAACCAGTCAAATGGCCGTGATCCGACTGGCAGCTTGCAGACGCTTGCTGGACGCTCATCCAGCCAGCCGCCGCTGATTCAGCGAATATAACGCGTTGCCTGACACTCTCGCTAAAAGGAAATAAATTGTTTTCTTATTATGAATATAATGTCATGCCTTTATTCTTGTGTATGATTGGTGTTTTGGGTACTGTTGTCGCGATTAAACCAGTCAAATGGCCGTGATCCGACTGGCAGCTTGCAGACGCTTGCTGGACGCTCATCCAGCCAGCCGCCGCTGATTCAGCGAATATAACGCGTTGCCTGACACTCTCGCTAAAAGGAAATAAATTGTTTTCTTATTATGAATATAATGTCATGCCTTTATTCTTGTGTATGATTGGTGTTTTGGGTACTGTTATCCCAATATAACCAGTCAAATGGCCGTGATCCGACTGGCAGCTTACAGACGCTCGCTGGACGCTAGTCCAGTCAGCCGCGGCTGAGACTGCGAGTCTAACGCGTCGCCTGACACTCTCGCTACAAGGAAATACATTGTTTTCTTTTTATAAATATAAACCCATGCCTTTATTCTTGTGGAGGAATAATGTTTTGTGCACTGTTATCCCAATATAACCAGTCAAATGGCCGTGATCCAACTGGCAGCTTGCAGACGCTTGCTGGACGCTCATCCAGCCAGCCGCTGCTGATCAGGGAATATAACGCGTTGCCTGACACTCTCGCTAAAAGGAAATAAAATAATTTCTTATTATGAATATAATGTCATGCCTTTATTCTTGTGTATGATTGGTATTTTTGGGCCGTTTATCGCGATTAAACCAGTCAAATGGCCGTGATCAGACTGGCAGCTTACAGACGCTCGCTGGACGCTCATCCAGCCAGCCGCGGCTGAGACTGCGAGTCTAACGCGTCGCCTGACACTGTCGCTAAAAGGAAATACATTGTTTTCTTTTTATAAATATAATGTCATGCCTTTATTCTTGTCTATAATTGGTGTTTTAGGGAATTTTATCATAATTAAAGCAATCAAATGGCTCTGATCAGACTGGTTGCTTGGTTACTGTTGCATGCCTCTCATTCTAAGGAAATAAATCTAGTTTGCGGATACTGCCTTAGTTGTGACGATTTTAATCCTTGTGAAAAAGTTGTGTAATAATGTAGATGCACAGTAGCCTATAAAACTTGAATTAATCCCAATAACATGATTCGTTGTCATTGCTTTGACCATTTTTCTGACACCAGAGACAAAATACAGAGATGCTTTTAATTATTTTGTTAAAACAAAGCTTTTTAATAATTCAATAAAAGAATGCCAACTTTAACGGTAAAATCACTATAGCACACATTGTATCATTATATTTTCAAATTTACAAAGACAATTTACAAATAAAACCCAAGAAAAAAATCTATTTACAAATAAAAACAAAGGGAAAAAAACTATTTAGAAATAATAATACAAAAAAGAATCTATAAAGGCCATTGCTTGTCGCATATTATTCAACACACAGACAGTGTGCAGTTGCAAAAGCCATTTCTGCTTGGAATCTGTGGAACCCCTCTGTCTTTCTGAGAATCAGAATGGTTATCTATAATAAAGGAAAAAACAGTCATTAAAATCTTGTCACACATTAGAATGTGTGCATTAGATGTAGAATTGGTAACTGCATAATTCACACACTATATTTCAAATATCTATCATTAGCTCTTGAATTATTATTGTGTTCTTCACAAAACATGATTTACCTCAGGTGTCATGACTTCCATAGCATATGAAGGGCTAGATAAATCTGTTTTTTTCAATGCCAAAACACTGTACACCTTGTCAATGATTCCCTCTGTCTATGAAAAACAACAATGCAGATATGTATATCAGTGTTTAAAAAAAATCAGCATCTAAGAATAATTGAATTACATTCCAATTGTTTCGGATTATAATGAATGTCAAGATATTGATTATCTGTAACAGTATGAATCTATAAAAAAATAAGTAATTGTGATGTCAATTCATGTTGCAAGAACCAAGTTAATTTTAAATATATTTTTATTACAAATAAATATTATTTTACCTGTTCTTGGTCAAAAACAGAGATCCGTAGGTTACATTGGTTTTTCAGTTTGGGGGCATAACTGGGATGTTTATGTAAAAACATTCTGTGTGATCTAACAGCACCAGATGTGAGGTCATGATGAAGTTTCTACAAAAAAAGAAGAAAAAAAGTTTTACAGCACAATATAAATGATCAATGTGCTATTATGTTGATCCTAAATTTAATTATTACATGTTTCATTCAAACATGGTTATGTGCTATTTTATTTAAAATTTCAAGAACAATTACCATAATTTCTTCATCCTCCACAAGTGTGTCAACCAAAAGTCCCTGTTTCAAAGCTGTGAGGGTGCTGTAAAATAGACATACACATTAAAAGCAGTTCAGTAAGCTTTTGTTTTATGTTATGGTTATTTTGCTTACCTTTGAAAAGAATATGGTTGTTGATCACATCCACAGCTGAAGGGCGTGTCTTTGCGAATTGTTGTAGGGTCTATGCCAGCACAATCAGTGTGTAACCATTTGTTGCACAGATCACACTGAACCCACTTCATCCGTTTGATGTGTGGATGCAGGGTTCTAAAAATGTATACATTATTGT